CCCCCTCCAAGAGATGGGCATTGTGTTCGAGGAGTAAACAACCCTGGGTCACAAACTGCCCTGCGTGGGTGGCAGTAAAAGGTAACTGTTGGAAATGCGGCCTGGGCCTTCTTGGAAGGGGGTCTTCAGGAGCTGGATGGGAGTCGAAATTAAGAGGAGGGGGAGTCCATTGTACCCCTCTCCACTTGCTCTTCATAGTCTATTCCAGGGCTGTCCAACTTTGGCAAGTTTTAAGACTTGTGGACTTCAACTCCCAGAATGCCCCAGCCATTTATATTGAGAAATGGGCAATTAGCCCACTTTAAGTAGAAAGCTAGCATGTCAGGCAGAAAGATCTTTCTCCCTGAAATGTTCTCTCTCTCTCTCTCTCTCTCTCTCTCTCTCTCTCTCTCTCTCTCTCTCTCTCTCTCTCTCTCTCTCTCTCTGTGTGTGTGTGTGTGTGTGTGTGTGTGTGTGTGTGTCCAAGTAATCTGAACACAGCACCATTGCCTTCTCCTACAGGCTGTGGCAGCTAACACAGGGATCTCCAAACTTGGCAACTTTAAGACTTGTGGACTTCAACTCCCAGAATTCCCCAGCCAGCATACCATGGGTATCATGTCTTTTTGCATGCCCTCACTCACAAGGAATGAAAGATAGAATGGTGACCGTAAAGTGAGATAAGGTAGGAATATATATCTATATATACATACATATATATATATATATATATATATATATAATGCTTTGCTGGTCAACATATCAATACTGTAGACCAGTGTTTCTCAACCTTGCCAATTTGAAGATGGGTGGACTTCAACTCCTGCCAATTTTGAGAAACATTGCTGAAGACACTGCAATCAAAACAGAATTTTTTTCCCCACAGATATCAGTGATCTGTTTTTTCTGGATTGTACTTTTCTCTTAAAATCATTTCTGTGATTTGGATGATAGGTCAGATGCTACCTCGAAAGGGAAAGCAAGATTTCATGGTGTATCTAGGCATGGTTGACTTGGAAAAAAGATGTTAACAGTGATTTGTTTATTATCAATAATAATCAAACTATTTATAAGGTCTCACTAGGGGTTAGGAGTCATTATATCCCTAGGGCAGAGGAACATTTTTTTTTTGTTCTAATCACCCTGAAAAGCAAGAGAGAAAGACACAGAATTGAAACCAAGACACTGCCCGGAGCTGCCTCTAAAGCACGATATATTAAATCAACTCTTACCCTTTTCCCAACAGAAAGCACATGTATTTAAATATAAAGCCATTACAAAAAAAAATATTTGAATTATATTCCCTGTTCCTCTTCAGGCTGCGGCGTAATCGTCTTTGGTGTAACCAAACCCTTTTCTATATGTGTAACAATGGAAGTCCTCACCAAGCTCAGTTCTGACCTAAATGGGTTTGAGTATCCCCAGACAAAATTTGAATCATCAACTGTAACATTTCCATTGAGACAGCAAAGTCCTAGGCTGCAGCACAGCTTCTTCCCTCTTCATTTACGTACGGACATTCACCCAAACTCCAGTCCTGGAGAAATAAAACCTAGCAAATAGCTGAAACATTCAGAGTGGGGGCCCTCAGTCTGAGATGGTGGGGTTTTGCCCTTGGGGAATCCATGCTGACTAATGACCTCCATGTCAACGTGGATCCATGACTGGTCTTAACCAGTCTGCCCTTGATAGCAGCAAGGCATGGAGCTGGTTATTATTATTATTATTATTTTGCCCTAGCTGTTCCCTGCTCCCCGTTACTTTGGGCACAAGAGTCTGTTGAAGTAGAAGGTATTGTTGACCACGGTGAGATTTGGAAAGTTCATCCAAATCAGGTAGACCAGGCCTCGCGGTGCGCTCCTTTCCTCTACCCGTGTTGTAGCTGGCTGGTGATGGGAGGAAACCTCTCAGGGATGGTCTTTCTGGTGTTTTCAGCCAAGTTTCTCTTACCTGTCCTTTTGAGTTGATGGTAGGGCAGCCGCCTTACGAGGCGTTGAGCAAAGAACGGCTGTAGAGGCTCTGGTAGTAGGAACCGGTCTCGCTGAGTGAGGTGGAGGTCTCGTAGGTATGTTTACTTTCCACCGAGTGTGGGGAGTTGTAGCCACTGTACGCCATAGCCTGCTCGTAGGATTTCAGGTCGATCTTGTGGCTTTGCTCGGTGGACATCAAGTTGGTGATGGAAAAGGGATGATTGAAGTTGAACTGAGGGTCCATTTTGAGATCGTTCGGAAGATCCAGGTTGGTAATGGAGTTGGCAAAGTAGTGACTAGTCATAGATTGTGAGATGGGAGCTGGGGAGGCCTCGGACGCCGGGGATGAGCCCTGAGCTCCCGAACAATCAAGTTGGACCAGACTTCTTTGCTCCTCAGAACCATGGGAGGTGTCCGAATGGCCGGACTCGGCTCCTTCTGAACCAGGGTTGGGACTCTGACCTTCCTGAAGGCCTTCAGAAACCTTCGAGGCTTGCTCCCGAGCGTGGGAAGCCTTGGAGCCGGCCTTCTTAGCCTTGTCCTCGATTTTGAAACGCTTCTGGCGTCTCAGGTAGCAGCCGTTTTCAAACATGTTGCCCGAATTGGGGTGGAGGGCCCAGTAGGACCCCTTGCCCGGCTTGTCCGGAGAACGGGCCACCTTGACAAAGCAGTCATTGAAGGAGAGCGAGTGGCGGATTGAGTTCTGCCAACGTTGCTGGTTCTCACGGTAGTAGGGGAAGAGATCCATGATCCACTGGTAGATCTCGTTGAGGGTCAGCATTTTGCTGGGGGCCTGCTGAATGGCCATGGTTATGAGGGAGATGTACGAGTAGGGCGGCTTGGCATGGGTCAGCGTGCGCCGGTAAGACTTGTTGATCTCTTTGGGCCTGCTCATGTTTGAGGGAGAGTAGCCCAGAGGGGCCATTTGTTGGCCAACATTCTGGTAGGGTGAGAGGGAATTGAGAGTGGGTGGCTGGGCTCCCAATGGCGTCAACACTGGGCTGACCGGAGACGCCACCGTCGGAAGACCCATGGGGCTGGTGGCGTTGGCCAGTCCCGTGACCGAAGGGCTGCTCAAGCTGCTGTTTGGGTAAGTCATATTTATAGAATTAGGAGAACTCAGCGGATTGAGGGTCACGTAAGAATTAATGGGGTTCATTGGCCCCAAACTGGACGCCATTGTGCTGACGGATGGAAATACCTGAGGAGAAGAGAAGAAAGACTTGGTCAGAAGGAAGGTTCTCCAGGGGGAGAGTCGCAAAAGAGGCAGAAAAACCCATAGGTGAAGCTTTTCCCACTGTTGGGATCAAGCTGAATATTAATTTATGTAGCTGCTTCCGAGATAGTTCTAAAGAAGCAGAAGGTTAGCTGCTGATTGTAAAATCAGCTGAGATGGTCTCAGGAGAGAATAATAGAAAGGGAAGACCCAGTACAGTTTATCTAGGGAATCAGAAGGACAGGGCCCCAATGATTCATAGGGGCTAGCCCACCGTAGTTCCATGGCATTGACAGAACTATTATCTCCGTTTCATTAAATGGATCAGCCCAACTTTTTCTATGAGGTCTTGCATTAACTACCACTCATTGGAAGAAGGTTTTTTTTTTCTGTTCCCTTTTCCAACAATACCCCCAAATGCCACCAAACGATAATGTTGAATGTGACAGAAGGAGAAATTTAGTAAATGCCTACCTGGAATGCAACCACACTGATTAGGTTTTATTTTCATTAACTGTAAGCAGAATAAAATGTAGAAAGCTAAACCTCTGGTCCCAGTGACCGTACCCAGATTGGATCTTGCAGAATGAAATCACATCCAGTTTTGGCCCCTGTATCGCCCAATCCTTCTTAAAATGCAGCCCCCAGCCCCCTGCTCAAAAGCCACGCTTGGCTCTTAGTTTGCAGCATACAAAAAATTGGGATCTTTTGCCCTAAATAGAGGCGGATTGGTTGAGGCATAAGTTTAGCAATTTCCCACTTGAGCCTAATCTTGGCTATCCAGTATTTGTTTGCTCAAAACCACAGAAGAGAGAATTTAGATGCTGATGTTTAAAAGAGCAGGGATTCCACCACCACTCAGTATTGTTTATATAAGATAGGGACTTAATTGACAATCTGATTCGTCTTCCTTAATGAACGGAAAGTAGCTGCCAAGGGCTAGGTGAAACCAGTTAGTAATGTTGATTGGTGTCACGCTGGCCGTTGGCTGCGTCTGCAGAACAGCAAGAAGGAAATGGTGAATTTTTATAGGGTTGTATAGAAACGGGAAGTGCACCTGAAGCGGTGAGCGTAGGGTGGGAAAACCCAGGTTCAGATCCCAGAACACTGAGGACATTTCCTGGATCTGAATCGTGAACCCCAAGCAGGGAAGGAAAGATCAGAAAGCAGGGCTACAAACAAGTCAAAGCAGCTTTCTCCAAGCCAGTCTTCCAGATGCTTTGGATTACAGCACCCAGAAGTCACAGCCATTTCTTAGCCCTGGGATTTGTAATGGCAACATTAACATTCCAATTCTGTTGGAAACTTTATAATGGCACACAACACTCACACACCCCAAACACATCCTCTCAAGGAACAGAATTCTCAGACTTCTAGAAGACTTCAGTTCCCGGGTTCCCATGAACCAGCAGAGTGTCCCCTCATTCACACAGTAATCCAGGGACCTCTCATGTGTGCAAACTACTTTGGGGCTATTCAAATCACATTCTGTGCAATAGAAGTATCCCAGAGAGCATATCTGAAATTAAAAATATTATGTACAGCATACAGAAAGTCAGGGCAGAAATTTTGGGCTCAGTTGTAGTTATAAGTCAAGGACTACCTGTATAGTTCCCACCACCACCACCGGCAATACTGTGATGACTGTGAAGACTGGACCTTCCGGTTCAACAATTATGGGGGATCCTGAACCCTTTTTAAGCCTAATGTGGCCCGACGATCTCCCCTTTTGTTTCCTGGACTGGATCCACCCAAAGACACCCATCCAAATATTTGCTTTATACCCTTAAAAAACCTATTTCCCTGTTCCACCCAGAGCCTTGGAAGTGAATGGGACCAGTGCCAGTACTGTGGTGCAGGGCAACACAATGTGGGGCAGAGTTCCCTGCCACCTAAGGGAAACTAATGGTTCCCAAAAGGAAATGGTTGGCGGGAAGGACTTTTTTCTCCATCAGTTAAAACCAGCCTCACAGGTCCATTTGGGGCAGGGAGGAACAACTGTCCTACTCTGAGTGTCCGGAATAACAACTTCTTTCTGATGACCCTTTCCCCAATGCGGGGCCTTCCAGATGCGTTGGACTGCATCTCTCAGGATTTCCCCATCAGCATGGCGGATAAGTAGCTATCAAAACTTTGGTCTGATCCATCTGAAGGTGGCCCGGTCAAAGGAGGACCTGGTAGAACTCTCTGGGCGCTTCCCAATCAGTTGACCATAGGCCACAAGGCCAGGCCAGGCTTTGGCCTAATGCCACGTTCTCAGGTAAGGTCATAAACCACAGGTAGCCCAAGCTACCCTTTCTTAGGCCAACATTTGAGTTGTCTTTGACCAATGGTTGGAAAGTCTGGGCCTGTTGAGCTTTGTAGGTCAAAGGCCTGATCCGTTAAAGAGATCCCCAGTCTTATGTTGGTTCTTGGGCTGAAAAGAAAGTATCTATCTTAAAGTTATCTAAGGAAGGCAGAACAAGAAGCAACGGATGGAAAGTAATTAAGAAGAGAACCAACGTAAAAATAAGGAGAAACTTCTCGACAGTGAGAACAATTAACCAGTGGGATGACTTGTCTCTAGAGCAGGGGTTCTCAACCTTGGCAACTTTAAGACTTGTGGACTTCAACTCCCAGCAAAGCTGGCTGAGGAATTCTGGGAGTTGAAGTCCACAAGTCTTAAAGTTGCCAAGGTTGAGAACCCCTGCTCTAGAAGTTGTGGATGCTCCAACACTGGACGTTTTTAAGAAGAGACTGGACAGCCACTTGTCTGAAATGGGATAGGGTTTCCTGCCTGAGCAGGGGATTGGACTAGATGATCTCCAAGTCCCTTCCGACTCTGTTATTCTAATATTTTGTGCCTCGTGCTTAGGAAAGAGCATTTTGGAGAGTCATCCTCAAATGACGTCTGATCCTCAAGCAGCAACTCATCACCTCCGAGCAAAAAACGTACTTTCGGTTGACTCTGATTTGCTTCGCTTTGTCCTGGATGCGTATTTTGCAGCTTAGGTTGGTGGGCCAAACCTCCTAAATCCTTTTCAGAATAAGGGAAGGAGATTAGTCCTGACCAAGGCCAGGGTCCCATTGTCTCTGAGATCACAGATGGCTTTTGAACCTTCTTTCCTTATCTTAGATTACAACAAGCTATTTCAGGGCCACTCTTGAAGACCCTTGTCACATGACTGGGATTTACTAGCCAGATGTTTCTTAGGTCCAGCGGGAACTTTTTCCCCCTGAGATGGACAGCAACCTTTGGAACCAGCCCTGGGAGGATTCTTTGACAAGGACGTTTTGAAAGCCCGGCCAGATTCCCCATCTCTTGCTCCAGGGGTAAAATCTCATTTTTTTACTCTTAAGGACGAGGAACAAATACAGGTAGTCTTATGACCACAATTGAGCCCAACATTTATGTTGCTAAGTGAAACATTTGTTAAGTGAGTTTTGCCCAGTGGGTGGGATTCAGCCGGTTCGCACCACTTCGGCAGAACCGGTAGCTAATTTTTTGTTGCACAGGCCCGGAATGGACTTCCAGAAGCGGCATCCACACAGAGAACCGGTTGTTCCCCTATTTGAATCCCACCACTGGTTTTGCCCCATTTTACAACCACAGTTGTTAAGTGAATCACTGCAGTTGTTAAGTCAGTCACATGGCTGTTAAGCGAATTCGGTTTCTCCCATTGACTCGGCTTGTGAGAAGGTCGCAAAAAGTGATCGCCTGACCCCGGGAACAGGGCAGCCGTCATAAATATGAGTCGGTTGACAAGCATCCGAATTTTATTCACGTGACCGTGGGGATGTTGTTGTTGTTGCAAAAGCCATAAGTGTGAAAAATGGTTGTAAGGCACTTTTTCAGTGGGGCGGTAACTTTGAACCGTCACTAAATGAACTGTTGTAAGTCGAGGACTATCTGTATATCTTTATAAAAGTAGGCTGATGTGTGTTGTGTGTCCCAGATCCGCCGTGTATTTACAAATAAACCAGTTGTGCTGCCTACTTGGGTGTTTGATTGTTTCTGACCCCAGAATGGATGCAGCAAACGTCAACTTGCTACATCAATTATAAACTATCTGAGAGGCAACAATTGTTATAGCTCTTCCCCCCCCCCCCACCCCTCGACGCCCATAGGCAGCTTCAAACAATGATGAAGCTTATCCTGGTTCAGGTGTTTGACTGGATACTCTTGGTGGAGCCTAAACATTTCTGCCTCATTTCGTGAGCTGCAGCCAGCTTTTTCTTCAGAATGAATATTCACGGGCTGTATGAAATATTAGAATTTGAGAGAATCGGTTACGCAGCCCGTAGGGTCTCAGGTCTTCCATAACTTGAGAAAAGGAGGCCAGCCTATTATTCTCCAAAGCACCAGAAGGCAGAACAAGAAGCAACAGAGGGAAGCTGATCAAGGAAAGAGCCAACCTAGAACCAAGGAGGAATTTCCTGACAGTGAGAACGATTAATCAGTAGAATAGCTTGACTCCTGGAGTTATGGGTGCTCCATCATTGGAGGAGGTTTTCAAAAACAGGCTGGACAACCACTTGACCGGGATGGTGTAAGATCTGCTCAAGCAGGAAGTTGGACTAGAAGACCTTTAAGGTCCCTTCCAGCTCTGATCCTTATGTTCTAGGCGGTGTACAAAGGCCAATTTAAATCTGGAATTGGGAGCTGTGGGTTGAAATCCCCAGGTGGGGCCAAGATGTGCTTCTTCGCCACCCAAAAACCTTGGAAGAATGAATCTTGGTTTTCTGGAAAAACGGGGCAATTCTGCTCCCAACAGGGCATGGATCCCCTCATTTCTCCATTTTTTTTTTCTCATTTGCATGTGGTGAATTCCAGCATTCTTCCCTCCAGATTTCCTGAGTCTGGGGGGGTAGAGGAATAAAACAGCTTGAGCTGCAGTTTTGGGGAGGGAAGATTTGGTTCCTCCAGGGCCGCTCTCATCTTCCAGATAGGCTCAAATCCTCTCCAAACAGCCCAGCAGACGCTGGGATTGTGCAAGTGAGCCCGG